GCCTGATCGAATTGATCAAGTCATGCAGGAACAAGGTTCCAAGTATATTGATATTTCCTTTATCCTAGTTAATGATATGAAAGAGGAAAAATTACTACCAAGTATTGTGGGGTTCCGGAATTCTTTTTTTGCAGGTGAAATGTATTTTAGTAATCCGTACAACCATGCAGTGTAGGTATAAGTTAATAGTGTCAAATTTGTGAGATACTGTAAGAATTGTGTTTATATAGAAAATGTGTTTTATTTAAGAACTTCGTACTAAGTATTTGCAATAGAGGGACAAATAATTATGTTTATAGCATGACATGAGAACAGACTTAGGAATTTGTAATTCTGCTGCATATATTCTGGTTAATACGCGTTTTTGCACTCTGCCTATTCCATTTTTTCTTGCATGTACTTTGTTTCCCTCGTAACTTCAGTTTGCTGGAAAGTTTATACTGGTTTCTGGTTGATGCTTGATTCTCTCTCATCTTGATTTGCAGGAAAAGGTCGTGTAATTGTATCCTTGCAGGAGTAAGGTCGAGAAGGTAGCAAATATTTTGTGTTCGCTATTTATAGCCTTTGTGAGTTGACCCCAAATTTAACGGGGATTAGACTTAGTAATTTGTTGTTGTTGTTGTAGTATTCATAGCCCATATGCTGTGCATCTCGACTGTACCTGCCCAATGCCATGGTAGTGAAGCCAACGGACATTTTTACATGTTTACATTTTGGAACCTAATGCTATGATCATTGCCGATGGTTTTGCACCTTCTTGTAAGCCGGTGTCTACTACTTGTACATGTTTTAGGATTCTTTTCTTTGAATTCACAATTAAAGAAATACATTAGATTTCAGATTTGCGGCTATTTTTCACTTTTGCTCAAGTGATATTTCGGGTTGATTCAAGCATTATTGCTAGCAACATGATTAAAGCCTTCGAGCAGTGTGTTTCTTCATGTTTAAAGTCTTTTTAAGTACTCCTATGCACTCATTGTCTTTATTTATTTTACAAATTTTGGAGATCTCACACGTGAAATTTCCTTTTTGAATATTTACGAGTTCTTAAACAGGTCAAATTTGTTTGAGGATGCAAAAATAAAAAAAAAATAAAAAATAAAAACCCTCTTGTTTTAGATGTATAAGCTTTTTAACTTGTAATGGTGCATACAGAGCAGAAGTGCCACAGCACGGGGTGGTTTAGGTCTCACCATCTTTAGCCCCCGTTTGGTACACATTAAAATTTTCATTTTCATTCTTCTACTCATTTTCAACCACACATTCTTCAATAGAATATATTTTTCGTCACATCAATAATTTTTCCTTCTTTTTCAACCATATATTCTCTATTAATCTACTATTCTAGAATACATTCTTCCAAAATAATGTGGTTTAAACACACCCTTAATTATGAAAAATCGATGTCAAGTTTATGATAAAAAGTATAAATTATACATCTATAATAGAATGTTGAATCGTTAAATTTAAAATTATACAGTAATTACAAGTTGTGAGTTTTATGAAATGTATTGATAATAAATATTTAGTAATTGTGACAGCTAAATGTATGAATAAAAGGAAAATATATTTGAGACAATATAATTAAATTATAATCATTTTCCAACATATCTTTCAGTCCGCCTAAGGCTCTAATTTTCGAATATTTAGCAGTTTATATTTTAGATCTTATTAATTCAAATAAATGGCACTGAGAATTTTAATATTATTAATTAAGTTAATATTTGTGCGTTAGCTTTCAAAAAGTTGAGATGGCCGAGTTGGTCTAAGGCGCCAGATTAAGGTTCTGGTCCGAAAGGGCGTGGGTTCAAATCCCACTCTCAACATAAGTTTTTGAATCACTGGGACGGTTCATTGAGCCGAGCTTCTCCCACTTGACACTGCTTGTCGCTGATACTGTTGTGAGTAAATAGCACCAAAGTCCCCCAACTACATAATATTTATGGCAGTAACACTGTTATATTAGTATCTTTCCAAGGTTAGTTTATATTAATAATAACTGAACACAATCTATGAACCTAAACTTTTAAAGTTGGATGATTAAGTAGAAATCTAATGAAAATTTAATGACCATTGATCGATTTAAACCTGCTTAAGAGTAATGCAAGATTAGAAAAAAAGTAACTTTTAAGCACAAATAGTACCAAACCAAACATGCTCTATGGCTTATGGTGTTGGGTGTATATGTAGTCCAAGTGAGCCTCTGCAACCATCCTTCTTTCTTGACACTCCTCATCTTTCTCACCACATTCCTCCAATTCCATAAACTGTATGTACAAAATTACGCTGTCCATTTCAATCTCACAAAATAAATTTTAGATGAAAAAATAATCAAGAGGAAGCTAAGTGTTCTCACATTTGAAATTATGTCGTCTTCTTGAACAATTCCATTAGCCCTACAATTTTGATGATCGCCTATGCAAAGTAACACAACATTTACCACCCCCGGTTTAGTTTAGTTCAAAAAAATTAATAAAAACTCAGATCAAATTGCACCGTTAATTTTAATAATGCATTTTATGGACTTACGATTTTTAACAAAATTAAATAGGGGCTTCCTTTCATCACTAAAGCGCGGATAAAGGGACTTCAAATAGTTATGAGCATGCATGTATACATATAGAGAATCTTAGGACATGAACTTTACTATCATCTAAATCGATGCTAAGCATCCACGGTTACTACATATATATCATTACTCTTATTCATATACAAACCTGCAAATGAAAAAATTCTCAGAAGCTCATGGTATATGTCTAAAGACGAAAAATTTGTGGGTATACCTTGATTTGTAGGTAGGCGACGAGCAGATATGTGACAAATTATTAACATTACAAAGAGCCAACTCACAAGTACACCACAACTTTGCTTCATTGCTTTTAGATAGAGAGAGGGGAGAAAGGGGGGGCTTGTGTCTGTATAAATAGGTAAATAGGGATAGTTGACTGCTGCTTTCAACCTAAACCATTTGTAACTACCATCATGGTATACGTACATCTTGTTTTACATATTTTTTTTACGTTGTGCTACGTATCGGCACATAATTGGACAATTTTTTTTTAAATACACTTTTTTGTCCAACACTTTTTGAATTCTCACACAAAATCAAAAAATATGTAAACATAGGAATGTACACTTAACATAATTCTTGTAACTAGGCCCTTTCAATTTCCAATGCTAGTCTATGACTCTATATGCAACATTTATTCAGAAAATGTAAGAAAAATAAAATTAGCCCATGACATTCTTTACTTTACTTAATTTATTTTTCATACTTATTTTCAACCATACATTTATAAAATAAAATATTCTCCATGTAAATTAAAAATATTTTCCTACTTTTTAATCACACATTCTCCAAAAAATACTATTCAAAATTATGTTTTTAAAATTTAAGGACGTCAAACAAGGGCAAAAGTCAATAATTAATTGTATCGTCATATTTCATGGGAATCACAACTTTTAATCATACATTTACTTGAAAAAAAGGAAAAATTGACTTCCCAATTCATAAAATTAGAATTTTGGAACATATATAAATCAGGATTCTAATTCTTGAAGAAGTATATCTAAAAAGTTCATAATGTTAGGACGATGTTTAAATACTACACAGGGGGACTCAACGTGCAAGTTTGAAGTAAACTCATTTCATATCTTCGTATCCGAGAATCGACAAACAAGACTCCGTCTTGCACGCAAAATATTGGCCTCGTTCATCATTTTCTTTTGAAGGTTTTGTTATCAAATTTTTTTCTTGCCCTAAAATTCTCTCAAAAATCATTTTTTAAAAGAATTTGTTGGTTGGTTGACTGTGGAAATAAGGAAGTTAATTATTTTAAAAGTAACCACTATTTTTCTATGGATATAAATTATTTTCACTTCATAAAAAACAAATTTTTAATTATGTTTAAAACTGTACGTTACTTACTTTTATACTTGAACAAAAACATGTGAAGATGTGCAACATCTCTAATGTTTACGAATTGAGCAACAATGATCAATACGAGTGACAAATTCTCGGTATGTTGTTAAGCTAATTTTAAAGGAAGTTTCATTTGCGTCCTCCAATGTAATTTTTTATTTAAATTGTGAAAATTTATCGCTCTATTTCATTTTTGACAGATATTAACAATCGATCAAATGGATCTCTATCTTTTTCGTGAAAATAAAATATAGATATCAAAATCACGATCCAATTGTTATATCAATTTTATCAAAAGGTGGTGCTTTGTGGATAATCCACGATAATAGTTGGTTCTCAATTATACTTATTTATGCTACAATACTTAGTGCTCCCCACTCATCATTCCAATTTTCGAATAAAAATAAATATTTAGGAATAGATAAGTATAAAA